GTCCAGTATTATGTATTGGTACCCATACTCCATAAAAGTTGAATGGTGCACTTGGTTCAATAGTTAATTATTTACTCAAAGAAATAGGGATCAATTTCCACTTAGCACTTTTTTTTCTTTTTTTTTTTTTTGTGGTGCACCCATTTTGTAGAAATCCTAGATCCGCCTATAGAAATATAATTAAGGGAAATGTGCACCTAAGCATATACTTTTAAGCTAATAATGTCAGTAAACAAGCAACCATAGACGCTTAATCATCCACTAAAGAAATGACAGCAAAATGGAAGTGGGAGTCATCTTGTCCCTCTGAGCATTTTTAAACTATTTTTAAGAATATATTGAGGAAGTAATTTGGTTTAATATTAATTAACCTGATTTTCAGGGACCATGCCTTATTGTCTTTCTTAGGAGCTTTCTATCAGATCCTTCTGTATTAATCCATTAGACAAGTTTAATCCATTTTAAGTATTATATAATCCAATTTATTTTGTTGGCCAGTAACATTAAAAAAATAGAAGAATAAACCCAAATAGTTAATCATCCAACTGTTTAAACTAAAAATAGCAAGCGGATGCATAAGAGGTGTATAATAAATGGAGTATATAATATGTCATGTACACAGATACAGAGGGTAATAAAATTTGCAACTAGGAGTTAGTTATTTACTTCTAACTTTCTCAGCTTTTCTGCGTCTAGTTTCGAAGATATGAAAGTAATGACGACTTTCCCGACTTATTTATATCAGCTCTCCATCATTTCTCGCTTCACTTACAAGAAATATTAGAATATAAATGCACTTTCTGTGAAAATCGAAGTGAAATCACATGGCTGCGGAGGGGGATTCAAGACTTAAATTATATGGAAGATTCTTAGCATTGCATTCGTTGTATTTTTAAAGTCATGAGTTCAACCTACCATTAGTTGCATTTTACATATACATTTATGTTTCGCGATGAAAATACTAGGTTCAGATAAACTCTACAGCCGCCCCAAACTCTTGGGGAGACTTACTATGAATTCCTAAGAAGATGCTTTAAAAAATTGCTGTAACATTATTTTGTGATTCTTGCATTTTGAATTGGAAATAAGGTGACCCCTGAGGTGTTGAATGGCTATAACTAAGGGGTATACAAATCGAACCGGAAAATCGCACCAAACCGAAAAGTCAAATCAAACCGATTAAAAAATCCGACTAAGTTTGGTTTGATTTGGTTTGGTATTGAGTAAAAAAACCCAAACCAAACCGACATACATATATATATATATATATATGTATATACACTTTGAAGATTTTATTTAAAAAATGTTTAGAAATATTTGGGATTCTCTTGCGGGATATAATATTTAATAGTATATGAAATGCTCAATATGTATTATCCTTAAATAGTGGGTTGTATGATCACTTTCTCATCAAATGTTACTAAAATAGTAAAATGCGCCAATCCCTTTGTTCTTCCATATTCATATCCTATGTTAAAATCTAATAAATTCTTATATCTTTTTCGAATGTGAAGTGATTATTATTATTATTTCGGTATCATATTGACTTTTATGTTTAATTACTAAATTCGGTTAACCTTGAAAGTTTACTTCAACGAAAAATTATTGTCAGGCGACTAAAAAAATAACTATTATGTGTTACTAAGAAAATTCTCCCATAAGAATATTTTAATAGATACTATGTTTGTCAATTTTTGATATTTTTACTAAACATATATTTACTTATAAAAAATTTAATAGAGTAAGATTGAAATAATATTTAAATAACAAAAAAACCCGATAAACTGAACCAATCCGATTTGCGTACACCCCTACCTATAACTAGTTTTAGTAGATTCGTATCATTAATGTAACTGAAAGTCTGAATCTGCTGACAACCTACATTTCACTTTACTTTTCTATTTTCTTTCATTAGCCATTTCCCTCTATATTTGCCCTACTTTTTTCTTTTTTTACCTTTCTCACATAGTTATTGGAATTGATCTTGAGAGACATTCGAAATGTTTGTTTTAACTTTTAACCACTAAGCTTTCTTATTGTACCAACATTCTTCCCCTCCATTGCTGTTTCTGATTGTAATATTCTTGGGCCGGCATTGGAAAAATAGGACAACATAAAGGTCTTAATCTTTTGGCCCAGCTAAACAAAACCTTCAAAAGTTAACCTTTGTTGCCCATCGGGCATACATTTTATAGTCAAACTTCTCTATAACAGTCATTATTTATAACAACACTTCACAATAATTGTCAAGTTTTCTTTGGAACAAATTTCTCATGTTATGTTAAAAAAATGTTCTTTATAACAACACTTCGCTGTAGCAATCAAAAATTATCGGAACAAGCGAGGTTGTTATAGAGAACTTCGATTATAGTTGCAGTGTGAGTAGAAGTTAGTTTTGCCTTTGAGGCAGGATACTGGGACATTTCAACAAGTTACAGACCATTTGAGCGGGGTAAAAATTCATGACCATCCCTTATAAGGGGAGAATTTGCATCTATACCCGCTTTTTGGGTCACGTTTTAACGTATGCCCACTTGCAAAAAAAAATGCAAGCGTACCCACTTTTCGCGTAAACTTCAGGCATACGGGCCTGAAGTAGCAAATGCAATCACGCAAACTTCAGCATTCTAGTAGACGGGCCTGAAGTTGTTTGTAATTGCTGAATTTAAGCATTCTACTAGCTAAAGTTTTGTTCTCTATTTGCTGAACTTCAGCATGTTTTAGCTGAAGTTTTGTCCTGGATTCATTAGTTTTGTCGTAAAGCTTTTTCAAAAACTTCAGCAGAAGATGCTGAAGTTATTTAGTTCATTTGTAAAAACTTCAGCACTAAATAAGCTGAAGTTTTTTGTCCTGGATTCATTAGTTTTGTCGTAAAGCTTTTTCAAAAACCTCAGCAGAAGATGTTGAAGTTATTTAGTTCATTTGTAAAAACTTCAGCACTAAATAAGCTGAAATTTTTTTGTCCTGGATTCATTAGTTTTGTCATAAAAGCTTTTTCAAAAACTTCAGCAGAACATACTGAAACTATTTAGTTCATTTGTAAAAACTTCAGCACTAAATAAGCTGAAATTTTTTTTGTCCTGGATTCATTAGTTTTGTCATAAAAGCTTTTTCAAAAACTTCAACAGAAGATGCTGAAGTTATTTAGTTCATTTGTAAAAATTTCAGCACTATATAAGCTGAAGTTTTTGAAAAAGCTTTCTAACATACTAAATAAATAATCACCTTATTCTTTCATAGTGTATTACTACTATAAAATAATCAGATTGCCAACAGTATCTAAATCATAAATTTTGGAAACAATAAACGTGAAAGCACAGAGAAAAGCAGTTCACCCCAAGCATTTTGATGTAAGCATGTGCACAAATACAAATGATGAAGTGAAGTATCACATTATTAAAAACAAGATGTTCTAAGAGACTGAGAAAGAAAGGAACGCACATGTAGCAGGAAGAAGGAGGAGCCTGAAGTTGTAAAAATTAGGGTATATTTTAAATAATTTTTAAAATGTGGGTATAGATTAAATGGGGGCGACCAAATAGAATGCAATTTTTAATTATAAGGGTCATTCTTGCAAATATCCCGATGAAGACTATTGGTTGAATACCAAACTGTTGAACTTCCATGGAAGAAGCCCAGTCCATGAAAACATGAGCTGTTAGACCATATAGGAGCAAAATGGGCCAAGAAAGCAGAACACTTGGGTTTACATTTTAAAAGGAAATTTTACCTCCTATAGCAGAGGTATACACCTTATTTATTAAAAACCAAAATTATTTTAAATTATTATTTTCTATAGCTACCTTTTATATTTTATAGCAAAATAAGTATTTATGATATATACTACCATTGAGGCATGAAATACGTTATTTATGGTTTTCCTCTCTCTTAGACAGCTGGACATACCTATTTCTAAGGTGATTATCATTACTGTATTCATGAATACATGGCGCGAATACATGTGAATACATGCGCGTACAGCTGGACTGCCCTGATTTTAGACACTTTTTGCTGTTGTATTCATGAATACAGCAACGCGAATACATGTGAATACATGCCCGTACAGCTGGACTGCCCTGATTTTAGGCGCTTTTTGTTGTTGTATTCATGAATACAGCAGCACGAATACATGTGAATACATGCGCGTACAGCTAGACTGCCCTGATTTTTAGGCGCTTTTTGCTGCAGTATTCATGAATACAGCAGCACGAATGCAGCGAATACACTACCGTAACAACTGAATAGTAACGATAGGAAGTAATTATGTATATGATAGTTATAGGAAGTTAATAGCCACTAAAAAAAGTGGTTACTGAAAATTCCTCATTTTAAAATGGGGTAATTATCATTTAGACCTCCTTAATTTTGGAATGTCACTTGAACCTCTGTAATTCGAGTATATGGTGTATATGCCAATTCTTTTGCCAAGAAACCATATAAGACAATAGCAAAAAGACTACCAACTTATGACATTTTGGCCCTTCCTACTGAAAACGTAAAAGATAATCATGAAATTGGAAGTCATTTGGAAAAGGGTTAAGAAATCAACATATACTTTAATAGTACAATTCAGCTCTAACTTTTACGACAAATGTTTGATCATGGTTTCGCATATGCGGTGCAGAAACATAAATTATGAACCAAATGGTAAATGAAAGCATACATCTGGTCGTCAAAAGTACAGTGTTAGATTTTGTCATCGTGCTCCAACAAGCTTTTCCTGGGTCAAAACTTTAACCACACAATCTGAGTTGGTGTAAATACCTGGTTCGAGTAAGTTTTTACATCAGTTCAGCTATGCCATTACAACTGAAAAGCAGCGCCTCTCTTTAATTGGTTTTGTGGACCTTTCCTTCAATTGTTTGTTATTGCTTTCCTATGTATTGTTCCCTGTTTTAGACGGCTGTTTGTTTCTAAATCAAACCAGTCTATATTGCTCCAATATGAGAGCTTGTCAAAACAAACAGCCACCAAATATGACCAGAAATACAAATAGCAGAAACTCCTGGAAGAAAAGTCTAATTAATTGGTTTCTTTCAAAGATCAATTTGCACATACAAACTTTTAAGAGCAGCGTCCATGATTTTCCTTTCCTCTTAAGACATGGACTCCATGTTACAACTCAAACAACAGATTAGTACATTGAATGTAAATAGTGAAGTATCTGAAAGTAAAATGCCCTTGACCCCATGATACACAGGTATGTTTAGCCCATGGCATACTTCTGGGTCCAGCTCCTTGCAGTTGTCTCATACTTGTTCCTGTCTGTCTTGTACATGTGTGCAATCTCCGGGACCAACGGATCATCAGGATTGGCGTCCGTCAAAAGAGAACATATTGAAAGCAACACCTAAAATTTGAAACAAACAGTAAATAAGTGGTGAGGCACATAACAGACATAATTCATGATCAAATGCCCTGCAGATATTTAAAGCTTCAGTAGTGCAAGACATCCTGGTGAAGCAAATGTATCGGCTGATCTTCCTTAGAATTTTTAAGGTATCTGATCAACATTAAATTTGTTTTGAAGGTCCTCTTCCCTTTTTCTAGATCCACCAATAGTGTCAAAGGCAGAACTAGGAGGAGGATTCCCAACAGTTGACACGACTTTGTATGTTGCATCAATGAAGTTTATCCTTCTTATCTAAGATAGAAGGCAGAGGAATTAAATTAAGCATATGTGAAAGATATTTGAATTGGTATTCAAATAGCAAGGTTAAAGGGCAAAGCCAGGCCAACAATTCCAAAAACCTAAACAACTCTAGTTGATTATATGTTTCCAACTCCATTATGGAACTTGAAAAGAAATCCCATAGATTGGTATTGAGAAACTCCCTATAAATTAGTTCCACGATTGTGTGCTACCCATGGCATTAAATGGAACTGCCAAATGACTTTTAACGACTGCAATGTAGAGATCTGAAAAATATAGCTAATCTCATGGTTTTGGGTACTAAACAATAATCAAGTGTTTGGTTATTCAAAGGAAAGCTTTCTAGTGGCATTAAACAAGGCTGCAAAATAAAAAGTTACTGTATGGCAAAAATCTGTTTTTCTTTAACAAACATATTACTACCTCAATCTTTATATTTCTTTCAAAATAAAAGGAAAATAAAGATACAAGATTGCCCCATAGAAGTTTAGAACAATCTATTGAAGTACAGGGGTAATATGAGCTTATGGAAACAAAAGCACTAAAACACTGATCAAAATTTTTATAAGTAGTACTTCAGATATAAACAACTTAAATGTAATAAGAAATGAACCTTGGAAATCGTTAGGGCAGGGCTCCACTGCTCCTTTAAAATGTCAAGGCATATGCTCCCATTGCTGTTTATGTTTGGGTGGAAAACTTTTGTCCTGAAAGCAACCTGCCAGATTCACCAATGGTGAGTGTATTTCAACTTTCTTCATTGCCAGTGACAAGTATTAGAAAGATGATATTTATGACTACAACTTGTTTTAATGGAAAGTCCTTGATCTTTCTGCCTTAGTTATTGTATTTGACATATTTCATGATCCGAAAAGACATTTGACCTGTTTTGTCAGGTTTGTTTAAACCGGATTTGAAATATATTGATGTCTGTTTAACTCAGAAATTTAAATGATCACCAAAAATGAATATTTTATACGTGGTGGTCATTATTTATTCATTTAATACGAATTGCATAAGGCAACTAGAATTGGTTTTCTCTCTTGGTAGACTTGCAACATTTTTGTGCTAGTAAATTTGGTATATCTTTCACTTGCTATACAATTCTTAATGAAACGTTCCCTTTCTGCAATATTCTGTAGCATCACAAGCTTTTTATCTCCTTCAGGCCGCTAAGATTACTAAGTATCAGAATACACTACTTAAAGGCAAAATACATAGTTTACCCATCAAACTTGAACCGAAATCCCTGTTACACACCTTTTGTTTACGGGTAATCTTTTGCGCACCCAACCTTTTAAAAGTGTGTCGAAAACGCACCTTTTTGATTACGTGTCACTCGCGTGTTTTACACACATAAGAGGCAAGTGGACAATTAAAATTATGTGTCTAAAGGCTCATTTTGACAGCATTTGTCCAGCCTTTTCATATTTCATTTTTCTAAATTCTTTTCTTCATATTTTAGAATAAAAAATCCACCATTCTTTTCCATCTTTTTCCATTACTGTACCATCGCCTTCTTCTTTCACCATAGCACCAAATATTTTTGCCAAGATTTAAAGGAGGATAAAAAGAAATTAGAGTTTCATAGTCAACAAAGGAATCGCTGAATGACGGTGTCACGGTTGAGCTACCTGGGTGGCCAAATGCTGAAGGGAAAATTTGTGAAGTTCTTCATATCTGTTTCGTGAGAATTTGTGGGTTCTAATTAGGTCTGTGGAGTTTCTTCCATTTCAGCCATTGATGGGTTGGGAATTTTGGGTTTTTGGGTTCTTTCTTGTTCTTACTGTTGCTGGTGTAAGCAATTTTGGTACCCAAACTATATAATCAGTGGTTCAATTTGAAAAAGGCAAGATACAAATACAAGGAATTTTAGGGAAAATATTTAATTGATAGTGTTGACAGAAATTCAATGTTATCCTAATAATTTGAAAATTAAAATTAAAAATAAAGGTTCATGGTTGCTAGTACAAAATTACTCACTTTGGGTGGTGGGGGGGGGAGGGGGGGGGAGCCATGGTGGTACAGCTTGGGGGAAGACGAAGAAGATGGATATAATTGTAAATTCAAATTTTTTGAAGTCAATAACACGTGTCGCGTTACTATTTGTGCGTGAATATACTTGATGAGAAAAAACTGGTCAAGTACCGAAGAGGTGTGTTTTAGACACACTTTTAAAAGGTTGAGTATATAAGAAGTTTCCCGTGAGGAAAAGGTGTGTAATAGGGATTTCGGTGCAAGTTTGATGGGTAAACTATGTATTTTGCCCTACTTAAAAAAGAAAGTAAAATAAAATGGTCAAATGCACGAGGAAGAAGTTTATTTCATCTATAAAACCAAACACGATTTTCAAACAAGAGATACTGTATAAAGAAAATAAAAGATACAAATAAAAAACTCTTTCATCTGAAGTACCAATCCATCAAGCCAGAACCGTTGGATCTTCAGAAGATATATACCGCAAAAACAACAAAAGCATACTAGCCCAAAATAAATATGAGCTGAACTTAGTCCCTCTTCAACTAACCCTTAAATTTAAGACTAAGGAACTGTGCCTATCATTCTCCCAATTTGACATAAAGGAGCGAGCTTAATCAATCAGGTCAGAATTACAGATCTAGTAAAATGAAACAATGTATCCTAGCACCGATGACAATAGAAAACCAGATTCACTTAGCTGCTAAGTGGTCTAGTGGTCCAACAAAAGTCAATGTTAAACGCACTCTTGCAACTACTTTATGGCCAATTTTGAAACTTCATTTGAGTTTAATGAAAATTAGGCCTAACAATCACCTACACAAATACAAGTTTTGCTATCAAGCATAATAAAATGAACATAAGCTAGGGGGTAAGCTAATCATATCAATTACAGATAAACTTATTCGATGGACAGAACCTCTTTGAACCAAAATTTCTAGGCTGTTAAGGACCATAATTTAACGATGAAGTCGTGCGTATCAACAGTCATTATCAATTTGCTAACTTAAGTAACAACAAGAGCTCAAAATGCACCTTAGGTGGCTTGAATGGATAATCTGGAGGAAAATGAATCGTCACCAGAAAAACACCACCAGAAAAAGGACTGTCTGGAGGACCCATTATCGTTGCTTGCCAATGAAACATGTCCTCAGCAACAGGTCCTGAGAAATCCGGCATAATCAGAAAAACATACAAACAACAAACCCAACAAAAATATCCCCTAGAGAGGAGTTAAAGTTATTGCTCGACAGGGTGGTATTGATGCCGGATCAGACTATGACTTTGATACTTTACAGAATCCAAGCATTGACAAAAGAAGGAAAGAGCCTGCATCACTGGACTTCTGGTTTTGCTTTTTGAAGAAAGTAAAAGAAATAAGCGTATTTTGATATCGAGAACAAAACAATTGTTACTGCAACTTTATTAAAAAAAAAGGATCTGATATTAAGCATATACCGTCAATGCCAAAGGGCAATATTTCTTCTTAGTTCTAGCCCAATAAAATTTGAATACTTATTTCATAGGAATTATTCAAGAGAATAAGAAACCACAAATGAACCGGCAGGTGAAGAATGCAAGGCTCTTTTATAGACTAGCACATCCAAAGGCAATCATAACCCATCTACATAACATAAGAGCACCAACACAAATCAAAGTCCCTACATGATTAATGCCAAACAAATACTCTAGTCGTAGTGCACAATGGAAATTTGATGCATCAGTGCACGTAAAGTAGAAATACATGCTGAATAAACTACTGCACAAGATCGAACATAAGTAGGAATAAAAAACAAGATTTCATTTTCAATTTTTTGCCAGCAGAGAGCTATGCATTCTTACACCATATCTCTTTTCTGTAAAACTTACCTATTTCCTCGCTATTTGATTCAATTATGTCACTGCCAAGCCACTATTAAGCACTTGCAGACATACATATGACGAACAAAAACCAGAACACAAAAGTAATATCTTCCATTCGAGTGACAGAAAATGCAGCCATCACGTGTTTAGGGTTAATAAATCAAACTATTAAACTGGCATGAAGCCGAAAACAAATCTCAGATGCAAAGAAGATGAGAACTTTGTGGCAACCAAATCACACTGATCACATTTCATGATATTTGATAAAGGTACAAGTGAAGGGAAAGCAAACGTGGTAGCTATTGTTAGGTTAGTGTGAAATTTTCTACATTTTAGACCAACAATGATTTCTCCAATGATCCAACCATATGTGGAATAATTCAAATGAAGGATTTCATTTAGCAAACAGAATTCAAACAAAAGCAATGGTAACGTATGTATATATAAAATGCACAAAACCATAGCAAGAGAAATGGGATATTTACCAGCACTACAAGAAGTAGGAGGATCCTTTTGAAGATCTTTGAGCTCCTTCAAGATCCGCTTTGAAGCCATAGCGACTCCTGCAAATTCAACCACAGAAATCTCCTAATAAGATCCATCTCAATATACAACAATTAAACAAAAACAAATATTGATGTAATTTTTCTTAGAAAAAAACAACAACAAAGAATTGATGAAATCGAGGAAGAATTAGACCTGAAAGAGATTAGGATCCTCCTGTGAATGAACAGTAATTAAGCAACGATGGAAGAAGAGAAGATAAAAATGCAGATTCCATCAGGAAAAAGGATCATTTATATAGGCCCCGCATTAAACAGATTTATTTATTTAAATATTTTTTTTTAAACATTTCCATTTTCCGCCGACCCACCATTGTTTATTAAAATATTAAATAAATTCTGATAATCACTCTCTGAATTATTGACACAATTGGAGGTTTCATGAACCTCAATGCATGTATATAATAATTTAAATTCGTATTAAATTAGTCACTCTAAATTCTTCATTTTCATGAGTTGAACTTAGAAATCTCATATTAAAAGATAAAAAAAGTCTAATCATCCACCATATTTCTTGTTACTTGTGAATTATATCTATTTTTTTCTTGTGTATTAATGACTTCGTAACATAATGTAACTATTATTGCAAAATTCTAGTGGCTCTAGTTGGAATTGCATCTGCCTCTTTATATATAAATTTTTCTTTTTTTTTATATGTGACATTGAGTCCTATTGTTCAGACGACATAAAATATTCTTAGAACTAGACGATATCTAAGGAATTATGAGAATATATAATAAGTAATTAGTAAGTTCTAAATTAGGGAACTACTTGTGTTGAACAACACTTGTATGATAACATAAAGTTGAATTTTACATCAAGTCATTATAATAATTGCAGCTTAAAAGGATAGAATTTGTACTTCGATAAGGTTAATCAAAAGAAATATCCCATTTATCATTGTTCAAAAGGTAAAAAAAAACAAACATAAAATAAAGAGCTCTTAAACTATCAGGAATTTTTTTTTTACAGAAAAATAAAGAAAGAAAAGGAAAGGCACCGGATAATACTACTTTAACAGTTACTCAACCTAACAAACACAAAATTATATTGTAACAGATAAGATCCAGGTAAAAAAAAAAGTCATTTCGTCATTTCAGTAATGCGTCATATTCTTTTTTCACTAAAGTTTTTAGATTATTACTTTTGTGGAAGTAATTATAGTATTATTGATCGACTAACAAGTTTAGATGGAGTGATAAGTACTTTTTAAATTTATCGATTTCTAGGTTCGAATCTTTATATGGAGTTACCCTTGATAGAGAATGCTTTGTCCCCAATATAAAATAAAAGATTGAACGGTTTAATTATTCATAAAATACAGTATACGATTATTTAAAGCTAGAATAAAATAGTGTGAAGAGTTGGAATGTTGGATACATAGGAACGTTGGAGGGAAGGTAAGAGTTGGAAAGCAAGGAATGAAGGTGTGAGCTGGATACAGTGAATGGGCAACTGGCCAACTGGGCTCGTGCCTTTCACCGTTTTCTTTTGCTTTCTGTAATTACTAGTTTAATGACCAGTGAGTGTCGACATCCCATTTTTTATCTCCCGCCCCATTATCCCACTGCCAACTTTTCTTTTTCAAAGAAAACAATACATTACATTAATCCTAATGTACACATCTCTCAAACGAGAAACAAAAAATTTATAGCCAGTTTGGTCGTGCTTCTAAAATTAGTTTATTTTGAAAAATATATCTTTTTAATATATTTCTAAAAAATATTTAAAAAAATATATTTTTAGCGAAAAATAGTTTGTGTTTAACTAATCAATTTGAAAAGACCAGTTATTAGTATTTGCTCAAGTTTTTAAAAAGTATTTCCAAGTGTATTTTTTTCAAAATAATTTTTTAGAAAAGTACTTTTGGGAAGACACTATTTTTTTCAACTTTTCAAAAAATAACTTCGTGTTAAGAAAATTAAGTTCAAAGTGACAATATGAAACATAAAATAGACAATAGATGTAGCTGCGGGCCTACAAGCACTTAAATCTTGGACGGAGTTTAGGGGTTCTCAAGGTGATAATTTTGATGAGACTTCACATCTAAATGAGCTTCAAGTTTATTTGTCGCAGGGACTTGAAAAGGAGAATCCAGACGGCACCTTTGATCTTTTGGAATGGTGGAAGACAAGGGAAAAATATTTTCCGGTTCTTGCAAGGATGGCTCGGGATATTTTATCTATTCAAGCTTCAACAGTTGCATCAGAGAGCGCTTTCAGTCAAGCAAGACTTCAAATAGGTGATCATAGAGCGTCTATGAGGGAGAGCTTGGAAAAATCAGTACTATTCAGAGATTGGATCCGCTCGGAAAGAAGAAACTTTGGACTTGTAGAATCACAACCGGAGATAGACGAAGCTTATGAAGAAATGATAGCGGAACTTGCGGAGGATGCTGCTTCGCCCGGAAGCGGTGATGAACAAGCTTCTTTTCCGCCACCACCAACGGAACCTCCTCCGAACCTTGAAGGATTTATGAAATTTGTTAGAGATACAATGTAGATTATGGTGTAACTTGTACTTTGGCATATCTTCTTTAGTTTTTTTTCCTTTTAATGGTGGTATTAGTACCTTGTTGTGCTCATTCCATTGGGGGGAAGAAGACTAAGAAAGATATGCCATTTTTGGTAATAAAAATTATAAAACATACCCTTGGCCTTGAATATCTCTTCGCAATATTTTTTTGTCTTTAACTTGCAATTATTTATAAGGTGTAATATATATACATAACATACAATATATACTACAACAAATTATATAATGGAATATATATACATAACATACAATATATACTACAAGAAAATATATAAGGGAATATATATACATAACATACAATATATACTACAACAAATTATATAATGGAATATATATACATAACATACAATATATACTACAAGAAAATATATAAGGGAATATATATACATAACATACAATATATACTACAAGAAAATATATAAGGGAATATATATACATAACATACAATATATACTACAAGAAAATATATAAGGGTATAATATATTATATATATACATAACATACAATATATACTACAACAAATTATATAATGGAATATATATACATAACATACAATATATACTACAAGAAAATATATAAGGGAATATATATACATAACATACAATATATACTACAAGAAAATATATAAGGGAATATATATACATAACATACAATATATACTACAACAAATTATATAATGGAATATATATACATAACATACAATTTATACTACAACAAATTATATAATGGAATATATATACATAACATACAATATATACTACAACAAAATATATAAGGGAATATATATACATAACATACAATATATACTACAAGAAAATATATAAGGGAATATATATACATAACATACAATTTATACTACAACAAATTATATAATGAAATATATATACATAACATACAATATATAGTACAAGAAAATATATAAGGGAATATATATACATAACATACAATATATACTACAAGAAAATACATAAGGGAATATATATACATAACATACAATATATAGTACACTATACTAGTATACTATACTAGTATACTATATATATTATATTTACATGAAGAAGTAGTACTATATATACTACAAAACAAGATTTTTCAAAATGAGGGCCCCACCCCCAATGACCACCAACGGTCATATTAATTGCACAAATAGCCGATTTTTTTTTAAATTTACAAAACTAACCTTCTCTAACACTATAAGTACCCCCCTCCCTCTTCTTCATTTCAATACTCAATACTCATTTCTCAATCTAAATTTCTCTCAATCTCTCAATCTCCAATTTTCAAGACTTCAAGTCTCAATCTCAATTTTCAAGTTAAATCATGCCTCGTTCGGAAAGAGTGCGCTTATTTGTTTCGCAAATTTTTATGAAGTGCTTGAAGAAAATGAAGAAGGCCAAATATTAAAGTGCAAGAACTGTGGAAGAGTCTTAAATTTTCGTTCAGGGTGTACCACAGGCATTTTAAGGAGGCATATAAAGTATTGTGTTGAGGGTATTTATCCGCAAATTCGTCTTTAAGATTTTTCAACAATTTGTGTTATTTTAAAATTATTAGACGTATTTATGCTTCATGTTGTACTTTGTTATTAATTTATTATGCATGCCAATTTAGTTTTACTATTGATTTGTATTTTACATTTTCGTCAAAACANNAATATAATGCACGAAGGGTCATTCCGTGCCATGTTTTGATTATATTTGCACGAAGGGTCATTCCGTGTCATGTTTTGATTATATTTGCACGAAGGGTCATTCCGTGCCATGTTTTGAATATTTATGCACGAAGGGACATTCCGTGCTCTGATTTGATTATAATTGCACGAAGGATCATTCCGTGCCATGATATGAGAGTTACGTGAGGGAAAGCACGAAGGGTGATGCCGTGCACTTTATTTGATTGCTTTTGGTGAGAATGAGAGTAAAAGCACGAAGGTTGATGCCGTGCAACTGCTGATTTTCCTGCTCTCATTAATTATTGTTATTGCCCTGTTTCTTACGTAAATTGTTGACTTTATATCCGGACTGTACTCCCCCATAGTATGGTCCCCTCCCTCTTAACTGTTTAATTGCTTTGTTCTTTCGTTTTATTGCATATAGATATTGAACTGCACAGGTTGGTTTGGTAGTCCTGTCTAGCATCGTCACTACTTCGCCGGGGTTAGGCCAGGCACTTACCAACACATGGGGTCGTTTGTGCTGATGCTACACTTCTGTGCTCTTTTGCACAGATCACGGTACCGGAGCAGCTTTTGGACCACAGCAGTAGTATATCGATCGGGAGCTGACTTCAGTCCAGGGACTTACGAGGTAGCCTAGCTGGCGTTCGCAGGCCGGAGTCTCTTTCCATGTTTTCAGTTTGTTTTCATTGTACCGAGATAGACATTTATGCATTTTCTATTCAGACTTGTTTGTAGCACTCTTTAGTAGTTCGTGAGATAGCGACTCCAGTCTTGGTAGTGAAATATTAGACTTCCGCATTTTGGATTTTCAGTTATTTATGTATTAAAAGACTTCCGCATTTATTTAAAGACTCGTTATTTTATTATTGTTGTGTTGTTATCCGAAAATATTTAAATGTTTGGCTTGACTAGCTCCAACAGTAGGCGCCATCACGACTCCCGATGGTGGGAAATCCGGGTCGTGACATTGCGGGTAAAAGAGTAATTGAACAAATATTGAATAAAACAGTACCCGAA